ACGGAGGCGCTTTAGATTAGACTTATCATTTCCGTTGGAGATCCTCTCAAATACCGAGACCCTCTGCGGAGCGGTCTTGGGGCAGGTACACGCTGATAATACTGCCCTGATAAGTTCGACGCACGGACAGTGAGATTTTGTTTCTCGGGTATATCTCTTCCGAGACTTGTTCATATCCCCAGCCCGATAGTACAACTCATCGGTCAGATGACCAGAGCAACCTATCGTACGTTGACACAACTCCCCAAGTATAACATTGTCATCGTCAGATGAATACGTTTCTTTCAGGGGATTTGCCGCTTTATCAGCGTTCTCAAGAGTCACATGTTTAGAACTAAACTTTTGGGAGCGCAAGATCTCAACAGGCTCCTGGTTTTGAATATACACCCCCAGATGGGTGGAAACTGGAGTTTTCCTTTTATAAGAAGGCTTGTTATTGTTGAGAGGGCGTGTGCGACCCCCAGCTCGACGAGTTGCTCGGGGTTCAGTCACCGGACCCAAACGTTCTTTGCTCAGAACTTTGCCTCGATCCTCTTGCAAAGGACCCAGGCGATCGACTATCCTCACCTTGAATCGGGACAAATCCACACTGTCACAGTGCTCCGTCGGAGGTGCGGAACTCGAAGGGATCGACGTAACCGGTGTAGAACATCTTCTGCCTTGACTCTGGCGCGGGTCAGATTTAAGTGACCGACGGGTTGGAGGGTCGGATTCAAGTGACCCGCGATTTGGAAGGTCGGATCCAAGTGACCCGCGAAGTGGAGGGTCGGATCCACTGTAGTCGCCAGTTTGTTTCCGTCGAAAATTGTTGTATTCATTGCGGTATTCATTACAACTTCAATCGTTACAATGAAAACAAAAAAAAAAGATTGTCTTTTTATAAAACTTTTACACAATGAAAACAAAAGTTTACAACTCTCGTCAAAACAAACGCAGAGGACGTTTATCGGTCTTCTGCTTGCGTGGGATCTTTGTCTGTGCCGGGGTTTATGGAAAATTGGGCAGAGCTTCTACCTCACCAAGGGGGCATTTGCTTGAAGTCCGGAAATCGACAAAGCGAAATCAGGGCTTTTCTCGAGATTAAGACAAAGCCTAATCTCAAGGAACGGACGTACGGGCTTCGGATCCTTCGAACAGCTTCTCCTTTGCTCCGATGTTCGCCGGGATCTCGTTGTCCTTCGCTGAAATTTCGTGCTCCTTCACTCTTCAATCCAGCAGCACTTCGTCCTCTTGATAAAATTCCAGATCAAGAAAATGAAGGCCTTTGGTTCATATTTATAGGCCTCGAAATGCGGTTATTTGGATGAGAACAAGTGATTTGGCTCTATCTTCAGTCAACAGCAGCCTAACCACGTTTGGGGATGATCTCAAGTCAGTTAAAAACCCCTGGAATCGATAAACCCTGCAAAAAACCAATTTAAAACCGTCAAAACGCGTTTTGGGTATGTTACTGCGCGGCAGACTGATCTGACCCGCGCTCGCGCGGGTCGGATTGATCCGACCCGTGCATGCGCGGGTCGGATTGATCCGACCTGCGCTTGCGCAGGTCGGATTGATCCGTCCCGCGCTTGCGCGGGTCGGATCATTCCGTCCTGCGCTTAGCGCGGGTTCGCCGACTTTTTTCCCTTTTTTGGTTTCTTTCTTCCGGGACTTGTTCTTGTCGCGTATTCGATAGATTTGTTGATTTGTATGCTTCGTCGCGAGACCGATCGTCGAACGCGCGTTGGTTAATATACGCGTGCTGATCGATGCACGTGGGCTGATTGACGTGCGCGTGTTGACTGGCGCGCACGAGGTGGTTTGACGTGCACTCGTTGACCGGCGCGCACGAGTTGGTTGACGTGCACGCGTTTGACCGGCGCGTACGAGTTGATTCAACGTACGCGCGCTGACCGACACGCACGGGCTGATCGACGTGCGCGCGTTGACTGGCGCGCACGAGTTGGTTGATGTGCGCGCGTTGACCGGCACGCACGAGTTGATTGACGTGCGCGCGTTGACCGGCGCACACGAGCTGATTGACGTGCGCGCGTTGACTGGCGCGCACGAGCTGATTGACGTGCACGCGTTTGACCGACGCGCACGAGTTGGTTTGACGAATCTTCTTGACTCGCCCATTCATTGCTTCGAGTTTCATACGGGCTCTCGTAGACAATTTTAGACGCCTACAATAAGCATGCACCACTACATACACATATTACAGGAAAAGCTCATATATAGCTAACAAATTTATCCAAAAATTAAAATCGCATTAGAATAATTTCATGCTATGAATTAGCCAAATAATAACTACTGAATTTTATGTTCTTAAGCATATAGTGTCTTATAACCTTACAATTCGAAACATTGGTTCAAAAATTCAAGGAAGATTCTTAATAATTACTAATTTCATAATACTTGATACAATGTTACAATCAAAATCCGAACAACCTTAAAAAAGTGTATGTAAATGTAGTGATATATCATTCAGAAACCAATAAATTATATTATTTTAAATGCAATTTTATATCTAATGATATATTCTCTGTCATTGAAAAATTCCCAAATGTTCACTACAATTAAATGTCTAAGGAAAAATCTCTTGAAATTCAAATAACCTACAAAACATATGTCTTGAAGAAGTCGGAATGAAAATAAGGGGATGACAAAAATGATAGGAAAGTTTAATTCGTCCACAATCTTTATAATTAGGGCCATTATCTTCCAAGTTTCTCTAAAGGAGTTGATGTCATCCACAAAATCATATTTTCGTGCAATGGCCTAAAATTTGTTAAGATGGAAATTTGTTAAGTTAGAAAATAAATTAAGAAAAATATTAACAAAGCATCAAATTTATTGGGCTTGTGTAATAAGATATAGCTCGGCTTAAATAACTTTGGTAAAATAGAGCTAATAACATGTATATTAGTCTAATTTACATGCGTAGTTATATTAACATCATGATATTCATCAGATTGACAATTATTCTATACCGCAAATAGTGCATAAGAGTGGGTACTGAAGGAAAAAAATCCAGTTTGAGATAGATTTATTTCTAACATTATGAATTATTGTACCTTCAGATCCCGCAATATTGCTAACGAAAGAAGTGCTTACACACCTGATCTTTTTTAGAAAGATATAGAGAAAGAGAACCCGAGGAATTGTAGTCCTATTTAAATTGTATTATTTGTGGGAGATGCTTTATAAGATTTGACAAAATCTAAACTTTCTATTTTTACCCTACATCCATGTGATATGTCAAGCTTACAAAGATGTTAAGAAGCATAAGCATAAGCATAAGTTAAGTTCAAAATTGAAATCAGCATGCTCATTTATTGTATGCAATCATGGTTTATAGAATCACAAACTGGCCAGCTTTTAAAAAGATCGAAAACTGATCCATCGTGGAATAGAGACAAACAAATTTTTGATTGCAATTATATTAGACAAAGCTTTGGATAAAGAATGCATGATTAAATAGATTAAGGATGCAACTACATGATCCACATAATTCATTCTATGTGGATTAAGGATGCAACTACGTGACCTGTAGAACTCTTCAACATGAGTCATGTGGTCCGCACAGCCCAAATGTGATCTATAAGGGCCGGGAATACATCAAGCTTATTACTCACTGCAACACTTACCACATAATTGTTAACATGAAATGGCTGACAGATTGTCATGGATATTTAACACCAAGAAAGTATAAAAACTCAGTTATGATACAGGTTCTACTCTAGACCCTTTTTAAGGAATCCCAGTCCTTTTACTGCAAATTTGTCAACATTAACAAGTAAAATGTTACTGACAGGAGAGTAAATTATGGTTACATAAAACATAGAACACCCGATTACTGTATTTCACTCCTCTCATTCTTATCCCTACACCATCTCAACTGCCATGTACTCATGAATAGTGTGCACAAATCCAACAGTAAACTGAGAAATGACATCAAAGTTGTTTGCCCAGGTTTGCAGTGCTTGACATGTTATTGGCTTATCAGATACCTTTAACTCACTTAAAGTTCGTTGTCCTCCCAATTGACATCCAAATGTATTTCAATCAATTGAATAACTAAGACATGTTTTATTAACACAAGTAAACGATATTATTTCAATAGTTATGGCTCTTCTTTCAGAAAAATAATAATAAGATGATAATTGATGGCCCATGCTAATATAAATCTAAATACATCATTCTAGCAGAAAAGATCATATCAAAATTTTACTGACCGTTAACCCACTCTCTGTACCTCGATGTATTTAGAATAGGAGTATGATTGTGGATTTGGCTTCACTATTCTTGAGAAACAGGGTAGGACTATGGGTGAAACAGACTATTACAATAGAGCTTGAGTTCAAGCTGGGTTCATTTAATTCTTGGGGAAAACTGAGATGAACTAAACATGAATGAGCTGTAGTTTCAAACTTGCAGGACATTTAGCCCAGTAGCTTGAGCTTTACTTGAGATTATGTTTATACTAACAGAGCATAACCTATGCTCAGCCTGTTTATACACATCTAAATAAATCAACTAATTTTAAATTCAATATCAATTATGTTTAGTTGAAGCAACCACATAAATATTGTACTTGGTATTTAGTATCCTTAACCAATATGTCCAAAACGTCCAGCTACAGTTTCAAAAAAGACTCACAAATCATTATTCATCCACAACAAAGATTTCCAAAGGGCATAGGTAAATAGAAGGTAGGATTTCAAACATCATTGAACAATGAAAGACATAGATAAGTAGTCAGAATTCAAGATGTTAAATAGAGGTGCTAAAGCTAGAAGACTATTTTTACCAGCTAATTTGAAGAGATCTTCGATTGAATCAGATAGAGGGATAAGTTTCCCCATTGCAGGGCCTTCTGTGGTATCATCTTCATCGGGATGATGTCCATGAATTGTTACTCTAGGGCCTTCTGTGGTATCATCTTCATCGGGATGATGTCCATGAATTGTTACTCTCTTGGTTACACTACTCGAAAATGGCTGATGAGTGGTTGTTGGCGGGATGATGTCCATGAATTGTTACTCTCTTGGTTACACTACTCGAAAATGGCTGATGAGTGGTTGTTGGTGATTCTACAAAATTATTGCACATTAGTCCTATTTCACATCTCTGGTTGTGGTCTCAAGAGCACATTATTTGTGGAATATTGCATATGATTTCCATTTTCCTCCCAAAAGACTGTACATGTCTTCGAAATTATAGTTTACTACATATGATTTCTATCATTACACATCAATCGTGGCTCAGATGTCTGTCGGTCTTTAGAATAATAGAAATCATATGTAAATTCTATACTCAAAATTGATCCTTATAATTTCACAAATGAGCTCAACAATATGAAAATAGGAATCTATTCAGTCTGGCTAATTCAGTCGGGTAGTGTAACACAATGAGACTTCTGTATGTGTGTTGTAAATTTACATGCTTGAATTAAAGTAGGAACAAATGATTTTATTCACCTTGTGTATCATCAACAGTCACACCATTGACATGTAATTCTCCATTTGTTGGTCTTAAGTTCTGTCTACAAGAATCACAATAGCTGTTGATACCATAACCTTGAGTACTGCCCTGGATCCTAATGGTGCAAGGCGACGAGCTACTGCAAATGCTTGGGATCAAATCCTCACGCTCTCTCTTCTCTGCATCACCAAAACACACAAACAATACATAAATAATAATAAAAAATCTATTTTCCCCAGAATTCAAGCAAATTAACCACAACACTCAAATTACCAAGAACCCTTTTTGGCTTCTTCTTCGCCTTCGGCTACGGCGGCGATGGTCTACTCTTAGGCTCTCTCTTCACGGAGGCCGACGGCGGCGAGGCCCTCGTAGGAGTCGGATTCCTCACGTTGACCGCAGGGATGGTGAGTTGCGGCCGATACGCTGCCGGCGGAGGCGGCCGAGATGCTTCCGGCGAGGAAACGCTGCCGCCAATTCATTAGAGAGCGGCGTATCGGCCGGGATCGAAGGCGGCGAGCTGAGACTGTGAAAGGTAGCGTTTTTTATGCCAACGGAGGCGGGCGAGCGAGCTGAGAAGGTAGCGTTTTTTATGGGACCTTTGGAAATGGTTGAGTATTTGATGGGAGCTTTGGAAATGATGGGAGGCGTGAATGGTTGAGTTTTTGATGGGAGCTTTGGAAATGATGGCACAGTTACGAAAAAAAACTAGAACCCAATGCATTAATTACGGAAGTAGAGAAGGTGGAATTGCAATGTGCTTGGAAAATTGAAATAGATGTTATGAGAGAGAAGGTGGCGTTTGCAATGTGCTTGGAAATTGAAATTTGATGAATCAATTTTTTTTAAGAAAATTTTAAAGGAGAAGTTGCCTCGTGTTGGGAACCGAAATTGATGCCACGTGACTTTTTTAAGGGTATGTGTTATTTTTTGCCACGTGTTATTTTTGCCAAGTGGTGTTTTGAAGGGGAATGAATGAAAAATTATTTTAAAAAATTTCTATATGTTAAAATTACGTAGTTGATTCAATTGTACTAAGAGATATTAAATCCGAACAAATAATCCTTTTATTTTATATGGAAAATTAATATCTTTATCATCTATTAATGTAATATGTATAAGTTTTATTTCCTTCATTGCAGAACAAGATGCATGCCCATGCATAAGTTATAATTTCCAAAACACTTATATACTTTTATATTCTCTGATTTATCCATGATGATATTGTTTTTCCCTAAAGAAAATCATAGTTTTAATTTGTATTCCTTTTAGAACCTAAAACATATGGACATGATTTGGAAACAAATTCTATGTTTATGGTATTGTATTGATATGGACATGAAATATTCTAGAAGCAAAAAAGAAAGGAAAAGGGGAAGAAGGAGAAAAATATCTTTCATTAATTAAGTTACTTTTGCACTCGTAAATAAAATTAATTGAAAGAAGAATATGTCCTTTTTTCAGTTATTTTTTTAATTACTGTGACAATGTTCTTTTTATAGTAGTTTATATGATTATGATAAATTTAATTTTATAATATGAAGGTCATCGTTCATCTTCTGTTAATGCTAGCTATGGGCTCCTTTGTTGTAGAATAAAATACACATGCCTAATGCACATAACTTATAATTTTCAAAATATGTATATTTCATACCACTAAGTTCTTCGATTTCTTGACGATGAAAATATTTTTTTTCTGGAGAAAATCTTAAATTTTATATGTATTCCCTTTAGAACCTAAGACATATGGACATGTTGTTACCTGGGAACAAATTCTACATATGTTTATGGTATTGTTTTGTATGGAATATTCTAGAAAACAAAAAAGAAGGAAAAAATTATTTGTATGATACAGAATATTTAGAAACAAAAGGGAATGAGAATGGAAAAAAAGAGAAAAATGCCTCTTATTAAATTAATTTTTTGCCCTAGAAATTATAATTGAAATAAGAAAATGTCCTCCTTTAATTCGTTCATTTTTATATTACTCTCGCAAATATAGTAGTGTAGACGATTATAACAAACTAAATTTTATTACATTTATAATGGTCAACATTCAGCCTCTATGCACTTGGGGATCCTTGACACTAACTTCTGTGTTCTATGCACTCATCAAAAGCATGAAACCATCGGGCATCTTTTCTTTGAATGTGAATTCTCAGCAGCTATCTGGAACAGAGCTATGGAATGATGAATTTCAGGTGGAAATCTTGCAGCTGGGAATGTGTCATTCAATGGTTTAGTATGAGACTGAAAAGGAAGGGGTTCATGATAAAGCTTAAATGATTGGCATTATCAGTCACAGTTTATGCTATATGGAAAGAAAGGAATCAAAGAATTTTTCGGCAAGAAGCTAAAGGAACTGAATTTGTGTTTAAGACAGTGAAGCTTCTAATTCTTTCTAAAGTCCTCAATGATGATGTTCCTCTCCACATAAAAGAAAGAATTGAGCAATTGTAAAAAAACAAGATAGTTGTTCTTCCAGTTATCACTGGAATGTCTTTGATGTACTCATATTTCACATTTTGGTTATGAATAAAAATTTTCATTTACCAAAAAAAAAAAAACATTCAGCCTCTATTAATATGTGATGGGCTATCCTTTTGTATGTAAAGGCAGTTTTAAGAGGTTGAAAGGGACAACCATATGATAAAAATGAAAAACTTTTTCCTCTGATATATTCTCTCTAACTTTATTTTATAATTTTCAACCGACCCATCCTTTGAGCATAATGCTTAAATTTCACAGTACGTGGCCAGAAGAGACGGGTAACCTGGATAGGTTTTTACCACTTGTTCACAACCTGGATAGATATCAAGCCTGTCATGCACCCAATACTATTCAAAAACATGTTTCAGTGTCACCATTGATATCACTCTAGTAGATGTCAATGTAGAGAAGTGGGGGTACAAGCAGATATAACAAAGATGGGGTTTTAAAGAAAAAAATGTAAAGAAGAGATATCCAATAGTAACTACAATTATGTCTCAACAGAAGAAAAGAGAATGCATCTGATAAACTGAAATAAGAACAATGAGTCTCTAAAAATGAAAAACTTTTTCCTCGGATATATTCTCTCTAACTTTATTTTATAATTTTCAACCGACCCATCCTTTGAGCATAATGCTTAAATTTCACAGTACGTGGCCAGAAGAGACGGGTAACCTGGATAGGTTTTTACCACTTGTTCACAACATCATTATTTTCTACGCGATTAGCAAAAGCGGTTGTCCTATGACACTATCACAAGTGCTCCATTACACGGCGACAACTTTATTCTCTATTTTCCTACTTTAGTTGATTATTTATTGGTTTATTTCAAGTCATATAAAAAATCCAAGAACGACGGTTGTCCTGATTATTTTGTTTAAGTTTAAAATTTTGACTGAGTAAAATCCTTATATTTCTAGGCAATTCGGAAGCGCAATAGTGTTATCCATTTAAGTTTACAATATCTTCATTCTCTATTTTCTATCTTAATTGATTATTTGTTATCATTATCCATAAATTCCAGGAACAACAGTCATGTCAATTATTTTGTTTAATGTTTAAATGTTTTATTGAGTTAATCTCTTATATTTCTATACAATTTTGATACATGTAAATATTTTTTCACTTTAGTTTATAAGAGCTTTATAAATGGTCATTTATGTGTCTCTAATATGCGCATCGCGATGAGTTAGATGGCGAAGAAGAAGAAATTTAAGGGGAAAAATGGTTATTACGGGACCTGGAGCTTCCTCTACTCCCTCGGATTTAGTTCTATAGTGACTAAGCAAAGTAGTGAGGGTTCCTCCAGCTCAAACGTTATGAGTAGCATTAGGCCGCATGAAGCAAGGAAGAAGCTGCAAATGGAGGAGATTTTGGTTATTCAAGTTCAAGAGGAGTTTTTGGATTTTTAGTTTCGAGCTCCATTGGGACTAGAAGGTACAATCTCTCATAGTCTAGATAGCTCTTCTTCTAGATCTCATGTTCCACTGGGGGATGGTGGATTCAATGTGAGTGGCCAAAATAAAAAGTTAAATTTGGGATTAGACTTGAACGGAGGTAAATCACCAATTGCAAATGAACCTATTTCGTGGGCTTATGAGATTGATAATGAAGAGGATGTTGTTTTTGAGAATCTGGATGGAGGAATTAACTTGGGGGGACAATACTAGGGTGGAGTCTATTGGGGATTCTTCCCTTAATAAATCTATCCCAACGGTGAAAATTGAGGAGAAAAAGAGCTTTGCTAGCTTGTTTGCTGACAATAGGAGGATTGGTAAGGGACTTAATATGAATTTTATTCCATCAACAATAGAGGATAGTGTTTCTTTTGATGATGAATGATGGAGTGAGGGGAATTTACATTGGAAATTTGCTTTGGTTGGTAGTGCTATTGGGCTGAGTGTTTGCTTTAAAGACATGGAAGTGTATGTGGACAAAGTGTGGAGTAAATTAGTTAAACCTGATATTTGTTTGCTTAAACTAGGGATTTTTGTGTTCAATTTAAAAAATGAAGATGACAGGAATCTGATATTAGAAACTAATCCTTGGTTCTTTGGTGATAGACCTTAACTTTTGAGGCCATGGACTAGTGAAGAAGATGTTGATAGTTTTAATGCCTGTTTATATCTTATGTGGTTCAATTCCCTAACCTGAAACTGAATTTGTGGCATGAGAAAGGGATTAATAAGATAGCTAGCCTAGTGGGAAAACCCATTACAACAGATAAGTTGACAGCTAGTAGGCAAAGACTTGTTTATGCCTATGCGCTTATAGAATGCAACTCCCTGCTAAATTTCCAGATGTTGTAACTATCAAGGGTCCTTAAGGTCAGAGTTATTCACAGAAAATTACTTATGAGTTTAAGCCAAGATGGTGTGAGAGCTGTAAAGTCATTGGTCATTCTTCTGAAACCTGTAAAAGGAAGCAAACCAAAATGCAATGGGTGCCTAAGAAGAAGAATGTGGAGGTAGAAGCTGGGAGGAATCCCTCTACAGGTTCTAGAAGTATGCAATAAGAAGTGAGAGAGTAGAACTAGAGTGTAGCTGAGAGAGGTAACAAGATTATATTGATTATATTGATACCCGAGGAACTAGTGACTAAAGGGAATATTTTTGCTCCACTTACTAATCAGGTTGAAGATGATGGGGATTTTGTGCATCAGAATATCCTCAACTATCCCCTAGTGGATAGAGGGGGTACATCCAATTGATGAATTATGCATTGTGGAATGTGAGAGGTTTTAATAAATCTTACAAGCAACATATTGTAAAGAAGTTTATATTTGAGTAACATCTCTGTTTCTTGGCTTTGTTGGAAACTAGAGTGAAAGAGAAAAAAATTAGTAGTGTATGTCTTGTAAATTGATCTCAAAGGGTGGTGCCATTCAATGTGTAACAAGGAATTGGTTCACTTAGAATAGTTTCTCAGAAGCAGCTAATGGTAGAATTTGGATTTTGTGGGATAATAGTAATTTGGATGTTTTAGTGATATCAATTAGGGATCAGTGTATGTCTTGTAAATTGATCTCAAATGGTGGTGCCATTCAATGTGTAACCTCAGTAGTGTATGCTCAGAATTAGTTGGAAGGGAGGAAAAGGCTATTATGGGAGGAGCTAATTGATTTAAGTCATGATATTAATGCTCCTTGGATTGCTATGGGTGATTTTAACAATATTTTGGAACCAGATGATAGGCTAGGAGGAAGTTATACTAGTGAATATGAAATGAGAGACATGAGGTAATGCATTACAAGTGCTAACTTAATAAGCTGAAGAGTTCAGGTTATTTTTATCCATGGTGTAATAAACAAGAGGGGATAAATAGAGTAAGGACACACATTAATAGAGCTTTTGTGAATGATTTATAGGTCAATAACTATATGCCTAGTTATATTAACTATCTTGTACCTAATTTCTTAGATCAATTTCCTGGATTGCTCTTAACCATTGAAGATAGGAGTACAGGAAGGAAACCTTTCAGATTTTTTTAAAATGTAGACTAAGCATGAAAAATATCTAGACTCAGTAAAAGCTATTTGGAAGGAGAAATTTGTTTCCAAGATAAAAGCCTTGAAGAACAAGCTAAAAGATCTGAATACTAAGAGTTTTGGAAATGTAAGTGAACAAGTGATTAGGAAGAGGAAGGAGATGGAAGATATTCGAAGTAGTCTTCAGAATTACTCATATGATGCTGATCTGATTAATAAGGAGAAGCTTCGCTTAGATAAATATGTTAACTTGGTTTCAGTTGAAGTTTGTTTCTATGCTCAAAAGTCTAGAATTCAATGGTCAATGGAAGCTGAAAGGGGGACTCATGTATTCCATGCTGCTATGAAACAACAGAGACACATGAAGTGTTGGTGTAATACAAAGAAGATGGACAAAGATTGATAGAAGAGGAGAATATTGTGGAAGAGATACTAAACTTCTGTAAGTATGACGCCTCTAGTTTCACACATGGTTGTAGTACAAGGTGAACTCATAGATATCAAGCCTGTCATGCACCCAATACTATTCAAAAACATGTTTCAAGTGTCACCATTGATATCACTCTAGTAGATGTCAATGTAGAGAAGTGGGGGTACAAGCAGATATAACAAAGATGGGGTTTTAAAGAAAAAAATGTAAAGAAGAGATATCCAATAGTAACTACAATTATGTCTCAACAGAAGAAAAGAGAATACATCTGATAAACTGAAATAAGAACAATGAGTCTCTAACATATATGAGTCAACTGAACAGTATATAAGCACTCAGCCTCCAAAACAAAATACATCTCTAAAAGATTTAAAATAATAAATAGTCTACTGTGGAGTACTAACTAGCTACCTATATATTGCGGTAAACTACACTAAGTCTCCATCAACTTGCAGCTCTCCAAATCCCTGACCCGTTGCCTAAAAAAGATAGAAACAACGATCGTCAGAGTGCTAGCAAGAACATCTCCCTCCACACCTAGGGAAAGGGGGTAACGCCAAAATACTAAACATAACATGCATGCACACGCACACACACACACACACACACACACACATATATGTATGATATATCTAGTATCAAGAGCAGTTATGATATAGGAACCCACAACACGAGATGAGTACATCGAACGAATAATCCAAACAAGAAAACCCTCATATATATAGCATGTATCTCAAAATGTGAATCGCTAAATATCAACTCCAAATCCTATGAACTAGTAATACCAAAATACATCATCAACACCACATCCAAGATATGTCATACATGTCAATCACAGTATCTCACACTACCCTCGGGTAGGTGGTACGGAAACAAATATATGATCCTCTAAAATCCTCATCAAAAGTGTGTACAGTCACATATGAATGTCACGATGTTGGACTACATCCACAAACAGTACTCACCTGAGCCCTAGGCATTCCAAAGATGAAGAGTGTAGTGTAGGCGTATAAAACTGCTTATAGGTCCCTTAACACAGCTCGGCACGATGATTCAACAAACCAACGAACCATCGGGCGACATATCCAAACACGATCGTCGGACCACAACACCAAAGCCAAGTGACACGCGACGAAGCGCATTAACGAGGCGATGAGGCTAACGAACCGCACGCAAACAATGGAATACATCCACTCGTATGCGGAATCAAGCTAACGGTTCGGTGAGTCAACGAGTCATCCAACCGTGGAACGGATTCGAACTCGAACTCCAAGGCAGATTTACTGCCAAATCGGGATCCGGACTTCTAAATCAGAGTTCAGATCAACGACGAAACTCGGATAAACCGATAAACCGCGAAACCGGACAACGGACGACACGGCGAACACCCGAAAAGAAGCCCGGCCAAAAACCAAGCCACCCAAGGGTGGCTCGGTGGCCGAGCCACCCCATGGTGGCTCGGCCATGGCCGAGCCACCCAGGGGTGGCTCGGTGGTCGAGCCACACTCAGATCTGGGCCCAGATCTGGGCCCAGATCTATCTACACGACTATACTCCGGATCAAAGCTTGGCCTTTGATCCTGAGAAGGCTACTATTTCCTTGGTGAAGTAGTACCCCCCGACTGTTATTTCCTTCGTGAGATAACACCCGTTATATCGTGTAGATCCGACCGGATCTAGATCGCGCGGTGGTCCACGGATTAACCCCGGCGCAGGCGAAGAACCCACAAAAGCGAGTGACCGAAAAACAGGAGCTCGCGATTCGTTCAAGGAAAGTTGTAATTTTTTATTTCTTTTTGATTTTGTTGTAACCGGATCTTATAAAAAGACCGGATTTTTGTAATCGATGGAATCAATGAAGAAGACAATTTTTCCCGCGAACAATCTGGCGACCACAGTGGGAGCCAATGATCTCGCTGCCGAGATCGTCGCGTCGCAGCCGCGGATCTCAATCCCGGTCGAGGAGGAGGTCGAGTATGAATTCGACCAACAAAAGTTCAAGGAGTATCTTTCGTCCTCGTCCGGATTCACCTCCCCCCGCAAGTCCAAGAAGTTCTCCTCCAGGAGAAAAGTTCGTTGGTACGAAGAAGTCCAGAACGCCAACGAAGCTCTTACCACAGCTGACGCCAAAGTTGCGTCAGGTGAAGTTCCGCCGACCTCCAACCAGGTCAACCCTGTTCTCGCCAACGCCTCCACCGTTGAGGGCATTGTGACTCTCTCGAAGAGAGCCCGCCAAAGGCAACGTCAATGCCTGGCGCGGCAACTCGCAAAGGCGATGGAGTCCACCGACGGAGTCCGCTATCATGCGGATCTGAAGAGCAGGAGAGGCAAACAGCATCAACCACCGATGGATGACAGCTCCTCTAAGCCGCCAACGAATGAATGGATCCGTGTCAAACGGAATCGTTCGACGCTTGATGAGCGC